AAGGTAAAACTTGGTTAAATTATATTAAAACCTTATTAAAAAATCTGCAAAATTCAGAAAAAGGTAAAACTATATTAGAGCTTATAAAAATGGTGAAACTATATCAAACACTTAGTAAAATTTAGCGAAACTAAAGGTTTAAACATTTAGCTAAATCCAAAATGAGTTTAGACAAGTAATTTTAATCACAACGAATAGATTTATCATTTGTATAATTGTTATTTATCTGATTATCAACATTATTGGTAGTAACATTAGATGAATAAAGCTGAGATTTTTTAAAAACTGCACAGACCTATTTCTGTTTAAGTTGTTTAGAAGACGAGAAAAATGATAGTTTTGATAGTCTTTGATTTTTAAAAACTGTAAATACTTGCTGGAGACTCTTAATGAAAACCTGATTATTATACAAAGTGTCGTGAAGTGAATCACGTAAAGACCTATGGGAAATTTTTAATGGACAAGCATCATATAACGTGTTTAAAGTTGAGTTGAAAATATTTTTGATATTCTTATCAATGACATCAGATTTTAACCACGTAAAAGTTATTTTACCATTAAAAATTATAGGATGAATTTGTGAATATAACGCGTAAAGTGAAAATAAAAGAGATATATATTGCCAAAATGACTTATAATTACATGATACTCATTATTGCTAGCAGTAATTTTTCTGAAATACTATGCATTTTTTGATCACGACTAGCTGATACAAATTTTATATGACCTGTTTACTTAAAATAAACATTCCTTCTCATGACCGTATCTGTAATCGAAAAGACCAATATTTATTATTAATCTTAGTCCACTTTGGGAACTGATGATGAATTTGAGACTGATGATAGAGAATTGGAGATGGATGATAGTGATGAATTCAAAACCGATGATGACGTTCTGTTGTATATATTTGAAAAAAGGTATAGGACCTCTTCATGCCTAGATGGCTCTTCATCATAATATTATACTTAGAGAATTGACCAGATGCCTTTCGAATATTTTCAAACAAGTAAAAAATGGATTATTTGACATATTTTCTAGATCTGATGCATTGAGGTATCCCATCTTCAAAGTGATATTTCTCCTTGAGAACCTGATACCAGGATTCAAAATTTGATTATAAGAGATCGAAACTTTTGGATGCTTAATTAACAAATTCTTTAATTTTTCATATTCTTTCTGAAATAACAATTTCTGGGTTTTGATCAAACTATACTACAAGAAGAAAGATTCTATTATCTTGAAACATACATATTTTTTGCTGATTACGATTAACGATGTTTTTGAGTTTTTTGACATTTTTATACCAGCTAATGCTATGAAACCAATGCTGAGCCTCTTGCACTTCTAATGCAATTCGATATTTTTGGAAGAAGGCATCAAGCTCTAATCCTTGCATGAAAGAGTGACAATACTCAATTATTGGCTCCTCTTTAAGAATTTCCTTAGATATCTGAATGCATCTGTCTGGAATTTGTGATTTTTCTTTCTGCCTGATCCTGCTCTAGTTTTAAAATTCTAGCTTCAAGCTTGGCAAGCCTAACTTTCTTGTCAGTTTTCTTAGCATCAAGCTCAGTGATCAATACTTCAATCTCAGATGACATGATAGATATTATATTTATACACAAAAGAATTATTCAATATTACGAGACAAATGTAAAACCGCTTTATTAATACACGCAAAAAAATAAATACATATCGGGTTTTAGCCCGTGATACATGAAGAATTTCTATTCTATGACAGGACTAATGTACACGATCACATTATCAGCTATCCTATGACCTTATATTCCCTTAACCCGAATTTCTCACAAGATTACTTGCCGACCTTTGCTTTTTTGGATGCCTTGTTTGCTCATCACTTTGCGAAACTTCTCCAGACTTCTATGCTTCCTCCAACAACCATACAATATGGCTGAGAACTTTCCCAACCATAATTTCCATATTCTCGTTTAATTAAAGTTTAAATATAAAAAGGTTATTAATAGTAATTTTATACATAGTTTTAATTTAATTAGTCCATCCACCACCTCATTGTTTAATCCCTCAATATTTGGTAATTCTCATTGATCAGATTTTAACATATTCAATAAATGCCATTTATTTCAGAAAAATGTTGCTATAGATGACCTTCATCATCTCAGTATTTTTTATACATTCCATTATTAACAGCTATCCAAAGACTTGAGAACAAATTATATCAATTCAACTGCTAATACAATCCATTACACTTATCGTTTAAAGAAAAATTTTAAATTACAAACTCGACTTTTTGCACTATTTGCGCCTGTTATTTTCGAGATTCTGTTCTGAGATTATGATTCTTTTATTTACGTTGATTAAAGAGATTGTTGCTACATTATTTGGAATGCATATATCTTTTGACGTCGATATAATATTTTTTACGTAAAACATGTTCAATTATGATATATATATATATGTATATAATTTTTTTTTTTTCATTTAGAATATTTATTGCGGATAATTCAGACAAATCCAAAGACTTCTTTGACGATGTCAATTAACCAATTCAAAGTATCATCTTACGTTTGCATTGGACTCGAAACCGCGAACGAAATTACAATTGTTTCAAAATTGTTTCAACAAAAAAAAAGTGTTTAAGACACGTCACAATATGACACCGTTAATTATAGTTTATAATGTATACTTTTATTTAAAATAATTTATAAGTCAAGTCATTATAATTTAATATACAATTAATTAATCACTCTAATGAGTTATGGTAAATATCTTGGTAACGATTTCGATGATAATAAGCGAGTATTCTCCAAGTCATCATTATTAGAAAAATCATTATCATCATTTTCGTCCGTTAATGAATTATGATCCTTAGGATTATGATAAAGTACGTAATGTTGTGTCATAAATAATAAGTCAAATGACACACTAAGAAATCCGAGACCACTATCAAATGAAATTAAGAAAAAGATCAGCTTCCAAAAAAAAAAAATTAAAGAGATGCTGGGATTATTTAAAAACTTACAGTTTTGCGAGGTCCTATTTGACATAAGGAAAGAAAAAGAATTAATTTAAAAGAATTTTAAAATACCAACCAAAGGAGAACTACTTTATCAATAACTTGCCCCTGATATTCCATTCCAGTTATCTTGTAAATATGCATCCAATACTAATTGAAAGATAGATAAGGTTCCACCGGTAAAATCCTAAAAAAATAAAAAAAATCAATCAATTAAAAAAAAAAAAATCTTTCAGGTTTAAATGGCCATTTCTTACCAATAGAATATTATGGATACTCCATCCAATAGTGGACTTTCTTTTGAAATTCAAGAACGCCTAAAAACAAAATCCGAAGCTTTTAACCGAGAAGATAAATTAAATACAATCACGTGATTTCATGAATAATAAACTTACTTGGGGAACATATTTTACGAAACTAAGACATAATTTAACGTAACTCATGTAATATAATAAATCAATCCACTGATTTATTCCAAAGAAAACTCCAATCAACAATAAAAATATTCCCAAAAATGACATTGTTATTAATGAGAATGCGACCGGCGAGATTCGCTGGTATGAATCTCTCTACAGAGTTTAAGAAAATTCATTATGATAAACACTCGATCAAGTCGTCACGTGAATTCAAGAATTACCTTGTATATAAAAGTTTGAATTAAAGTGATGGCACTCAATGTTAATGCGTGTAGGGCAAAGACCACATCGTTTATTTGCACCAAATTACTTTTATCGCCATTTCTTAATCGATATTCGTCACGTATTCCTTCAGATGCAAAGAATGCCAAATTAAATATTGAATAACATGCAAATCCGTATACGTTGTACCAAAGGAAATCTATGGATAATCCTTGAACACTTTTTTAAATAAAAAAAGCTCTTAATTCGGATATTTAATTATAGTGCACAGTAAATCATTTATAAGTCGGAATTCGATATAAACGATCACTTAATAAAATCTCATTTTTAAAAATTTCATAGTAAACCGGAGTTCGTTATATCGAGTTATGACTGAACGAGATAGTTGAATACCTTTTACGCCGATAATTTAAGATCACTTGAGGATAAAAACTTATAGACCATGCAAAGAAATACGCCTTCATTATTACATAATGTATATTTGCATATAATATCATTAGTAATGATCCACAAAATTAAACGACGCATTTTTGCTTATCAATAAAAAAACACTTACCCATCCTATCGTTTTTGATATTAAGTCAAAATCAATCATTTTTAATTTATATTTATGTAAAAGTGGAATGTATTGAAGAATTATTTTATTTTTTTATTTTTTATTTTTTTTTGCAAAAAAAGGAAAGGAACCATTTTATATAGTTCATACGAATAGTACATAAACATAAAGTTGATTGGATAGAAATGACACCATTTTTAAGCATTATGTAGACATTATAATGACGAAATCTTTTACCAGGTAATTTATCCCTAAGAAAACACCATTTAACAATTTTAACTAAATTAGAATGATAGACCATTGGGATCACCAAAAAAATTTCACCCCGATCCACATGTCACATATTACAGATATTTGGTATATTTTGGATGAACAAATTTTTGATAGTCAAAGGGAACTTCAATCAATTTACGTTAATTTACGTTTGTTGCACCAATTATTACATGATTCCTTTTTAGATAATTTTTTAATTAAAATTTGGTGTACAATATAATTATGTGAAACGGTCTATATTAAAAAGGAAATTGTATTGTAAACATCCTTTTTTTCTTTTTTTCTAAAATTAAAAATAGATTATTAAAAAAAAAAATTATTTCTTTAGAATTAAAATTGTCCAAATCTTTTGAGATTTTAAAGGTTCATGACAGCAGCAGCAACAACTGGAACGGCGGCAATAATAACATTGAATTTATTGACATTAGCGGAGGATTTTTCATCAGCTTTGGCAGGATCGTTATTAGTGGTGTCTTCTGGTTTAGCAGCTTCAGGTGTTGGAGTTGGCGTTGGATTTGCTGCTGGAGCTACTGGTTGTTTAGCAGGTGGTGTTGGAGCTGCTGCTGCCATAGTTGAAGATTGATTAGCAGCCAGCGCACAGGCTTGCGTCAACGCAGGCTAAATATATTTAATTTTTTTTTTAAAAAAAAAGTAAAGGAATGATATAAATCGAACATTATTAGATGAAGACAAAAAAAAATTTATGAATTATATTATATATATTATTCTCTTTACCTCATAAGCTTTTCCCTCATTTACTTTATCAGGATCGTCTGTACATTGAAGGTAACAATTTTGAAGGGCTATAAAGCAAAGAATTTTAAGGAATTAGGTATAAAAAATTTCATACGAGCCATATCTTGTATTTTGTAATTTTAACATACCTTTACGTCCCTCACATTTACAAATCCAATTATCGTCAGCGCAGGAATTTAATTGAGCATCCCCAGATGCTTTACAAGAATTGTATACTGCTATATTAGAACATACCGCTTCACTTGTCGAAGTAAAAGAAACGATAGCGGCTAAGGCAATGAATAATAAACTGGTTCTCATTTTCATCATTAAGATTATTAAAAGGAAAAAGAATAATTACAAAAATTAGATTAAAATTTAAAACACCAAAATTATTCCTTTTAATGAAAAGAAAAAAGTAAGAAAAATACGAAAAAAAAAATGAAAATTAACTGGTTATATATAAGAAAATTTTATAAACAGTACAATGTTGTACATATGTAGGCTGAGCATGGAATATGCAGGATACTGAGAATATTCGTAACGGATTGGCTAAGTTTAGCTTGAGTATGATTAGATGACAATCGACACAACCCCCCTTTTTAAATTTGTGAAACTTCCTCAGAATAGTCATAATTTATTATTTCTTCTTATTTTGTAAAACTAAATTTGTACAAAAAGGTGGCGTTTAGTTATTTTTATGATTTAAATCAAATTATCATTGCTAAATTTATCTCGTATTAAGTATTAATACTTAGAGTTATATTCTAAATATATATTTTAAGTTTTTTTTTTCATAATGGTATTGCTGATTTTGGTTAAATAGTATCAGAATTTTTGAGATCGGAGATGAATATTTATGTTGAGGATAAAAATTGGCTCTTTTTTTTAATTCTTGAAAGATGTTAAATTACAAACTTCCTCTTTCCGGGTCTTTATATATATATATTGTGGGAATGTGGATTTAAAACTTTAATTTTTTACCATGTATACCATTTAAATGACATTGACTAATTTGATACTCCAATAATTAATTTACAATGATTAATTTTCAATCCTTTCGATAACTTTTTTTCTCTATCAAAGAGATTAAAATTATTTATATTAAGATTATTCGATTATTATTTCTCACACAGTTGTAAAGTATAAAGGTTCATAAAGATGATATTATGTTGTTAAAGAACAGAAAAACCTTGTTTATTATTCAGCCATGGGATCATAAGGCTTAAATGCTTTTCTAAATTTTTCTGCATCCGATTGTTCTTGCTCTTCAGTTAACTCGCAGGCTCTCCAATCAATACGATGACTGCATCCCATCAAGTTCGCAAGAACTTTCCTATAAATCCATTTATTTTTAATTTTAATTTTAATTTAAAAAAAAAAGTTCAAACTTAAAATTGATTAATAGTATTATTACCTTCCAAATTGGACGTCAAATTTCTCATTAGGATTAATTTCATGAATTAATGATGTACCATCAGGTAAATCAACTTTAAAATGGTGTGGAGGTAATGATGATGATACTGGAAGTAATTCAAATCCGGAGTCTGAAGCTTCTTTTATAAATGCTTCTCTTATCATATTTGAATCATATTTCAAAGGGATGGGAATAACCTGCAGATGACAATGTTGTATTCCACCAGTTCTAGATACTTCGAACATAACCATACCTGCATTATATTCATGAAATAACTTTCTCAATCCAATTTTGTATTTTTCGAGTTCATCCATCATGTTTGTTTGTTCATCATTTGGAACTTCTTGAAAAGTTGGATAATGTTGAATTGCTACTAATAAGACATGACCACCACCAGGAACATTTTCATTTTGACTATCGATCAGGGGCCCCTTAGCTAACTTTAAAAAGTTATCATAAGGTTAAATATAAAACATGTGTAACGATGCAAGTGAAATCGAATTATGCTTACAGATAGATAAATTTCTTCACCAAGAGAAACAATCAAACTGGTTTTTTTTTTACATATAATAATGTCAATAATTAGCTTCGAATTATCAATACAACCTATAGTAAATAATTAAAAAAAAATTACATACCGTTTGACTATTTTTGGATTTGACAGACAGAACCAACATACTAAATAAAAAAAAAAGAGATTAAGGAACAAAACAGTATATAAGTCTTAATACAAGATATTTTGTATTTGTATACCTGCTTTGTTAAACAATTTATTGTCTTTAGAAGGGCATTCTTTAGGTGAATGACCATTATCACCACAAATATGACACGAGTATTCAGGACAGTTTACGATATAATGAACACCTGCTTGTTTACATTTATTACAAACGTAGTTTGAAGGAGGAGGTCTTGATTTGTTAATACGACTTCCTTTTAGGGCAGGGCAATCTTTAATCCAGTGACCGGGATTGTTACATTTTTTGCATACATAATCAGGAGGTATATCTAAGTTAAAAAAGAAATGAGTCTGTATATACATACGAAAAAAAAATATTTGAAAATTGAAAGTCAAATTGTTTTACCATGTTCAGTTCGTTTACCGCGTTTAGTAGATGGCTCCGATGCATTTCCCGGGCCCCAAAAATAGTTACCTCCCTATTTAAAGGGGATCAATATATGTATATATATATATATAAAAGAAACATTGAAAATTGATAGGAAGTTTATCACTCTTACACTAGAATTATTATCACCGGTTCTTCTCTTTTTTCCTGCTAATATATAAGGACATCCTGTCAACATTTCTGGAGGTTTCGTGAAGGCCGATGGAGATAAATGTACAAATGGAACAAGATTGAAGCCATAATACCACTATTTGAAATATTTTTATTAATAAAGATATCTTTTTTTTTTTTGATTGGCACCATCTTCATGACTAACCTTTGACTTTGTAGAATTACCCACTTCAGCCAGTCCAATAAACCAAGTTGGATGTCCAAATTGCATTTGAGAATCTACTTCATCATTTATTAAACTTGGAGAAGGAGAATTTTGATAAGGTTCTCTTTGATAGAAAACCTTTTCAGAAGTAGAAAGATGATATCTTGGTTTAACGGACAGAGCTAAGTTTGCTACATATTCTGAACCTCCGACATTCGTAGGAGCATTCTTCGAAAGTCGGGTTATATCTTTTGGCCATTCATGTGTGAGAAGAATATCCACCGTATTAGGAAGACCAGTTACAGGTGAATTCAATATACCACTTGCAAACGCGATCTTAATTCCTTGTGTTGTGGTTATGCTACTTGTTTGACCTTTAAATTGAACAGGGAATGTAAATTAGTAAAAAACAAAACGTCGAATTTATACGCGTATTTATATACTTACCAAGATAAAACAAATTTGGACAAAATTCTCCATTATTACTTGCAATACGTTCTTTTACAATGTCGGGTAAATCATGTTCACCATACATGAAATAAGACGTGATTGGCACTATAAATTATAATGAAGTCGAGAAGAGAATTAAAAATGTAAATCAAGAAATGTACATATTAAATTTGATATCTACCTTCGATTTCACCGGAAATTAAAGATTCTAATTCAGAGTTATTCTCCCCAAAAAGATCGCCGACACACAATAATAAGTCAAAAGGTCCATAATTAGTGATGATTTTTTTAACTCCTGCAAAAAGTTCAGTTAATTTCCCATTTGCTGAGCCAACTGTTAATCTATCAAGAAATAGATAAAATTAGAACAAGTATCATTAAAGTTCTGCGAAAGTAATTTACAAACTTACACCCTTATTGTGGTCATAATGGAAAGGAAAAAATAGTATTAATATGAAATGGATGGTTAATGTAAAAATTACGCGATCATATAAATTTGGTAGAAGTTACACAGCATAATAGATATGGATAATTTAAGGTCGGTATTACTAATTCATTATTTACTTTTTTAAACTCTTATTTTTCGTTACCAAATTTTATTAAAATGGGAATCGGCTTGAGTTGTCTTGGAATTGGAGCCGCGTCTTGGATAACTTCTGCCCTTGCTTCTTGTTTTTCTGCGGCAGCTTGTACGTTAGCCTTTAAATCATGTAATTGCAATAACTCTATAGCTACAAGAATCTGTTTTGCGGTAAAGTATTGACATAAATTATTTCAAACGTATTCTTTGAAATTTAACTCAAATGGAATTAACTTTTTCAATGATCCTTATAGATCATATTTCTCCTAAATTCGATGGTAAGGATTTTATTACTTTCCTCTTCCTCTTAAAGCCATTTCTTTACAATAATCAAATAATTTTATCTTTTGTAAAATAGCTTGCATGGATCATGTTGTCTGATTGGGCAATAAAGCAGCTGGAGAAAATTCTTCATGATTACCTGCAACTGAACTGTAAAGAGGGAACTTGTTATGGAGTACTCGCAGTACATCGTATTTGTTTTGCACTTTCTTTGTTCCATCTCTTTTTGGGACTTTTGGTGGTCGGAGTTTATGACACTCGTGATAAACGGGCATCCATTCAAAATGGGTAATTAGAAAATTCATTGCAATTTTCACAATGTTTATTCTAACTTTTTCAATATTTTATAGATGGTGGGGACCAAAAATTTTATTATGGATCACATTTGTAATCATTTCCTTTTTTATTCCTAATGGATTTTTCATATTTTGGGGAAATTATATTGCGTTAATTGGAGCAACGTTATTTATATTAGTTGGATTAGTACTATTAGTAGACTTTGCTCATACTTGGAGTGAAAGGTGTATAGAAAATTGGGAAAATAATGATGATAGGTGGAAATATATCCTCATCGGATCTACCATTGCAATGTTTATTGGATCAATTGTACTTACAGGGGTTATGTATGGATTTTTTACAGGAAAAGGATGTGGTCTTAATCAATTCTTTATTACTTTTAATCTTATATTATGTTTAATTGTAATTGGATTATGTATTCATCCAACAGTACAAGAGGCAAATTCAAGATCAGGTTTATCACAGGCTTCGATGGTTGTAATATATTGTACTTATGTTATAATGAGTGCAGTTGTAAATGAGCCTGATGATAATATGTGTAATCCATTAACGAGGAGTAGGGGTACAAGAACAACTACAATAGTTATCGGTGCTTTATTTACCTTCTTAGCTATAGCCTATTCAACCTCAAGAGCTGCTACACAAGGGGCATTAATTACAAAATCTGATTATCATCCATTAAATACGGCCTCAGCTGTTCCTCTAATGACGAATCAACCTGACGGTTTCCCAAACAATATGAGATCTGATACCTTGTCTGCAGCTGTTGAAAGCGGCGCTATGCCTGCTTCAGCTTTAGATGACGACGATGATGATTATGGTTATGACGGTAATGATGAAAAAAATGGTGTCGCTTATAATTATTCTTTCTTTCATTTAATTTTTGCCATAGCTTCCATGTACGTTGCTATGTTACTTACTAATTGGAATAATGTTACTACTACTGGCTCTGATGAGTTAATTGTTATTGGTCAAAGTTATATTGCTGTTTGGGTTAAAGTTATTTCTAGCTGGATTTGTTTACTTTTATATTCTTGGACTCTTGTTGGTCCTGTTCTTTTACCAGAAAGATTTATAGTAAGTCGATAAAAATTTTTTTCCTTTATACTTTATAAAGTAGTGAATCGAATATTAATTATAAAAATTTTCATTTATTATTTATTATTTATAGGATTATTAAGTTAATCTAAATTGTTTCGGTGTATTTTATTTTATCTTATCATAGCATGTTCTCAATCAATTACTTACGTACATTATATATTTAAATATTAGTTTCCAAACCCATTTAATAATATTTTTTATTAATAAAGATACTTTTGCTTAGTTCTTTTTTTTTTTTTTTTTATATATATATTTTTATCATTACAGTTCATAATCAAATTCTATTTGACAAAACTCATCAATACCTTCTTTAATAACAAAGGAGAGAATTAAATTTTAACTTTTTTAGCAAGATTTTTCTTATAATCTTCAATGGTTCCTTTCCATGTGGTTACTGTATGATCTTTACATAACCATATTACTTCTGCTACCTGAGAAATTAACCGAAAATCGTGAGATACTAACACTACGCCACCTGAAAATTCTTTGATGGCTTTTGCAAGTCCATCAATACTTTCCATATCCTAAATATATGGAATAATCGTTAATATTCATATTTCAAAAAAAAAAAAATTTTTTTTTTAAAAAAAGTGTTATGACAAACAAAAGATCAAATAAATTACCAAGTGATTCGTAGGTTCGTCCATAAGGACGATATCTGGTTTGGATAAAACTAGTTCGGCAAAAACTAATCGAGACTTTAAACCATCACTTAAAGTTCCGACAGCATTTGTTTGATGAACGCCTGTAAGACCATATCGTCCAATTTGATTACGCCAAAACTAAAATATGAATGAACATTGAAAAACACGTTAGTGAAAATGCATATATTATGCATAATTCACATAATTATTTGTATAAATCTTACATCAATGTCTCCTTTCAAGTGAGAAAATTGTCTTCTCATATATTGAATGGGACTCAATTCCATATCAAGTTGATCAGCACTAAATAATAATACATGTTAGAATATAATAATGTACAAGTGAATTGTGAAAGATTAATTATATCGTATTCATTACCTATGCTGGCTGTATTTGGCCAATCTCAAATTAGTATGTCGAGCAATTCTTCCTTTGGTAGGTTGAAGTTCACCCATCATCAGTTTGAGCAAGGTACTTTTTCCTACACCTGATTAATTTTTAAATATTTAAATATCCTTTTAGTAAAGTTATATTCAAGGTTTAATTCAGAAAAGAGCACATTAAATAATTACCATTAGGTCCTACAAGTGCTACACGAGAATCCATGTCTACGGCTAGGTCAAGATCTTCGTATAACAAATCTTTCGATTTAGTACTTCCGCTATAAGAGAAAGACACCTGGTCAAATTGTAAAACTGGTGGTGGAAGTTTTTCGACATTTTCGAATTTGAATTTAAATGTCATAGGTGGATCGACCTTTATTGTGAATGTAAGGTTTAAAAATTAGCAAAATAAATTTTTAGATAAATTAACCATTAAACATATACCTTCTCGATCAAACCAGCAGCCTCCATTTTATCAATAATTTTCTGTTTACTTTTAGCTTGTTTGACCTATTATAAAATAATAATTTTCTGAATTATAATTATATTACATCACAAATAAAAAACAGCATAAAAGGTTTTTTTACTTACAAGATTAGCATAAGTACCAGCCGAAGCAATGAACTTTCTGATGTGTGCAATTTCATCTTGTTGTTTATGATATGCTTTCATTTGGTTGACTTCCAACTCTGCTTTAGTTTTTACGAAGGAAGAATATCCACCTCCATAATAATTTAATTTTTTCTTTTCAGTTAAATGCATAGTTTCATTGCAAACACCGTCAAGAAAATCTTGAGAATGACTAACCAAAATCAAAATGCTAAAATAAAAAATGACTATATTAGTAATCAAAATTGTTGGCCTTATCGAAACTGAACTCACTTACCGATTATAATTCTTCAAATATTCTTCAAGCCATACACATGCTTCCAAATCCAAATGATTTGCTAATGCAAAATTAATATTAATAAGGGTTGAAAGTACAATACTAATATATACGAATTTATTTCATACTTACTTGGTTCATCCAACAATAATAGAGTGGGTTTAATAAACAAAGCTTTTGCCAATGCAACTCTCATTCTCCAACCGCCAGACATATCTCTAGTTTTTTTGGCCATCATTTCTTGATTGAAACCTAGACCATGAAGAAGAGTGCTAGCGCGAGATTGAAATGTCGACTCATCAAGAGCAGAAATACGATCATACAAATCTTCTAATCTTATGTCATCCGCTCCATTATCTTCAGTCAATATGTCTTCAACTTCTTTTTCAAGACTAAAATAAAAAATTAATGTATAAATAAAGCATGTACATTAATAATTTAATATAAAATTGGAATTACATAAATTCAGATGATATTGATTATTTAAATATTTACCGAGTGATCTCACTCTTTGCTGCCAACATAACATAGTCAATAGCATTAAGGTCACAAGGTTCCGCTTCTTGATTTAATAAATATACCTATAAATGAAATAATATCAATAATTCAATTCAAAAAATGTATTGAAAAAAGAAACTAACATTATAAACTTACATCAATATGTTCCGGAATTGGTGCCTCTCTTGCTGCTAAAGAAGCCAAGAACGTACTTTTTCCTGAACCATTAGCACCTATTAGACCATATCTAATTTATCAAGGAATGTTAAGCATTGAATAATTTAAAGGAAAAAAAAAGTTAAAATGAATCAATCAAATTATATACCGTCTACCAAAATTAAATTCAATCGTGGCATTTTCAATTAACACACGTCCATAAAAAGATAAACTATATTGCTCAATCTTAATATCTCTTGATCTGGGCTGTGAAGCCAAAACGCCAGTAGCAGTTCTTTCACCAGAGATCCTCAGCGTTTCTAAAGACAAACCATTAGCAGCGGCAGCTACAATAAGTTCGGTTGATTCAGTTGAACCATTCGCGACGGGTGTTTCTTCTGGCTTCTTTGTGTTTTTGGCAGCTTTTTTGGCCAAACGTTTTTGTTTTGAGACTGATGACTTTGCTGACGACATTTTGTAGATAGGTAAATAAAGGATGGTTTTTTTGACCAACGAATGTGTTGTTAAGAATATAAAGTAGTCACCGAGTCAACGACCAATCGAGATGCGATTGAGTGAAATAGATAGATCTGAAAAAAA